CCCCAAAACCCCAAAACCCCTTTCTACCACCAACGCTTTAATAGTAAGCTAAATGTCATTATAAATATAATTATAAGCATAATCTTCAAATTATTCAAATATTATTTTTCACAAATCTTTTCAAGATTACTAGTGATAAAATTCTGTATATAATCATAAGACTTATTAGTGCTAGCACACATGTCTTGTAACCAAAATCAAAATCAAGTTAATCTAATGGATTAAGTTCATCTTAATCAACATCATCAAACTATAGCTAAAGGATAGATTCAAGTCCATACCTTATTGGAGAGATATATTAGAGCCATTAAACCCATTTTGGCAAATTAGATAAATTTGTGTAAAAACCACCAGCAATATTCAACGGAATAATCATCAAAGGGGCTACTTAAGATGCAGTCTCAGGTCGAGTGAAAATACAGCCAATCAACTAACCATAGGATGCTGCTGTCAAAATCAAACAGCTAAGTGAAAAGAAGAAACCAAAGAACTTGTAGAATGCTAATTCAAGACCCAAGCCAAAGTATATGACTATTGATGTAATACAGGCTTACAATATCAAGAATGGTATCTCAAGAGTTAGTTTCGACAGGTAGTAAGCATAGATACTATAAAGGTTCTATGAGCTCTCTTTCAGAAATATTCTTCTCTCGGGATAGAACATCATAACTGAGGCGAGTAAGTTTTATAAAACGGTATTTTAACACGAGTAGTAAATTGCACCAACTAGGTCCATATGATTATTTTGATTATCACTTGCAGTAATTTTATGATATAGCATTACTATGAGTAGAGCTGTATAAATAGCTTAGATCAATCTAGCTCTGTAATGTTTTGGGTCTCTTAAAGCTTAGGATTTATTCCGAGATATCAAATTAATTAGTTGTATTCTAAAGGATGTATTTTCTTGAATATTTTAAAATTAAGGTTTGAGTAATTTCAGCTCTTCACATTCAAGTGCGATTGCCTCAGAAATTTTGATTTCGTAGGATTATTTTAAGAGATCAATCTTTCTTTAATCTAAATCATTAAGTGGGTATGATTAGCTGAAGGTTTTCATGTAATAGTCTGCCGGATTCTAGAATGTTGGGCATTAAAAACCAATTTGGCAAAAATATTCATGGGCAAGCTTAGCTTGGCCTTAAAAGATGATATGTCCATCTGATAATATTATTAGCTTATCAAAGAGCATGAAGCCCTCACTGTTTGGGCTGTGAATACTAGAAATGACAGTCTTGCCTTTTCTTGCTAGCTTATTTAGTAGTTTTATAATTTAAACTGATCTAAAGCTATCTAAACCTGAAGTGGGCTCATCTAAAATAATCAAAGAAGGATCGGTAATGATCTCAACACCAATCGCTGTCCTTTTTCTCTCTCCTCCAGATAAGGTCTTTTAAAGGGCATTGCCAATTAATGTATTTTGCGCGTTCACTAAACCTAGATCTCCTATTAGGCTATCAACTCTTGCTTCTTGTTCTTTAATTGAAAGTTTAAGTCTCATCCTAGCAGCAAAAAGCAAGGCTTCTCTAGGAGTAAAGAATTAGAATAATAGGTCATCCTGCATGACGTAAGCTCCATACTTTGCAAACATCTCAGCATTCATCTCTAAATCATCATTAACCTTGATTTTCCCAGTTATATCACCCATGTTCATGCACTTAGTTCTTTAACTTAATATATTAAGCAGTGTTGTCTTTCCTGAACCTGAAGCACCCATTATAAAGCAAGTTTCACCAGGAATAGCAAATCCACTTATCCCTTTTAGAATCTATTTCCCTCCCTTGATCTAATTGCTATTGTCCTTAGTTTTGAGAATGTAGCTCAGATTCTTGAATTCTAGCTTAATAGCGTTCTTATCTTGAAGTATGTCGCTGAAATTTGAAGAGGATTATATTGAAGACTAAGATGATCTTTCATATTCACTTGAACTTTGAATTTCTTGAAGTTTCTCAAGATCGAATTAAAAATTACTTATCTTTTCAAAAAATCTTCCTAATCACGGTTAGATATAAATAGACTTACTTCTTTTAAGTATCAATTCAGGGGAACTATTCCTTCTTAGTGTAAATTTCTAACTCTCTTTTTCTGGGCTTGGAGGAGCACTAGTAATTGCAGTCTCTAGATCTTCATAGATGTCTATCATCTGAATTTGCGAATTTGGGTAATTTCTGAATTAATATTTTATTATTATAGATATCTAGGATCTTGCTTAAATAGTTATATTTATTCAAAAAGTAATCTTTGAAAGATCTAATTCTCGGGGTTTTGGGGTTTTGGGG